TTTAGGAATAACAATTCATGCCAACTTTGTGTCTACATTAAGAGATATGGAGTTCATCAAAATTATTAACAATTAACTTTTAAATTGAAGAAAAATTGTGTTCAAAATGATCACATCTACACGCTCTCTCAATCTACTACTAGAGGAGGAGGAAAGAAAACACTATTCCTCGCAAGCTGACCAATATGGGAAAAAGCCGTTGATACATTCTAGTTTAAATTACAACGAAATGCATGGGTATGTGCTTACTGATAGGACTGTTTTCTTTGGGCCGGGTTGTGTGTTGGGGGTGGGGGTGGGTTTTGAAGAGAATTAAAAGGAGATGAGGTGTTTTGAATGAAGTAAGCTTGCTTGCTTGCACCAAGATGGTATATATGATCATCAGATTCAAGTATTAGCTGTTGGAAACTTTCCACCTCTGTTTTACATTAATGTTTCAATACCTTAATGTTGACATTTACTATTGATTTTAATCATGTACAGAAGAAACTAATTAAACTCTCTTCACAATCCGAGAAAAGTTTCGCAATTTGGAGCTAGTTTATATCTGGTTATTACCCTAAAAATGAAGTTAGAACAAATAACAGAAGGATGAAAAAGTTCGAACCAGAAACCTCACCAAAAACACTAGAATAGAAAGAAACTTCTGTTCTAAAGTGAATTTTCATTTACCAACATGGGTTAATATATATCTTTGAGTGTACCTCTTTAAACATCTTCCACAGCTATATATAGTTAATTGGGTTCTTCAAACATCCACTTAACTTCTGCTTTACAGTTTCCACTTCTCCACATCTTTCTTAGAAAATTAAGATGCAGGCAATGCCCAGAGAAAGCTCTCTTACACTCCAATACCTGCTACACTATGGCAATTTTAGATTATGACTAGAAGTTACTGAGAGAATTTAAATACAATATGACATAAGTTAGTCTGCCTCATCTTCAGTGTATCTTCATTGTGAGTTAACTATTTAATTATTAGATTAAGACATGAAAAACTAACACAAAGTCACCTTAACATCATTACAAGGGCATCACTTATATCTTACACTTGGCCAACAAATTTGGTCAATGAAATTGCTTTCGCAGTAATTTATGTAAAATAAACAAGGGAATCAAAGAAAACCGACATGACATCAGTAAAGCTCCTTTTCTTCTTCAGCATTACTGCTGACCTAATAAACAACAAGATTATCTCATTAATCCATGTGAAGAAGTTAGTTTCAAACTCCGTGAAATTACCCACAAGAAAAGTGTAATACAATACAACTAAGCTCAAGAAGATTATATTATTGGCTCAATTAAATTAGACTCCGTGATTAAGTTTATGTAAATTAAGTGACAGCAGTTAAGTTTCTTACATGACACTGCGAGATGCAATAGACAATTTGCTTGCAATAATGTTGGAGGTTTGGAGGCATCCCTGTTACATTGGCTCCTTTTGCTGCATGGCCCATCTCACCATTAAATAAACCCATCTCTGTTGTCGGCTAATTGATTAGCTACATTACAAGCTACCACATTATGCTAATAAGCTTAACTTAATACATAATAATTAAATGATAAAACACGAGTAGCTCAATGGCCATTAGGATCTGCAGACAATCAATCCTGCGCACGATTGATGTGGGTTGAGTTAGATGAAAAGATCGTTTTATCTTAAAATCTTATCTGATGAGCGTTTTCAGTCCAAATAATCAATGTGATAACCCTGATTAGTGAATAAATTAATCGGGGAGGAGAATGCTTGGGTGGTACTTTGTGCGTAATCACGTGATTGCAAGTGCTTAAACCTTCTTGTGGATAACAAACGAGGTCTAGAATCGATGGATGTGTCATTAGGTTTACGAACTTGTGGGAATGGTTGAATTAAACTTTTTAAGACTTACTTGTCGTATGGTAATTGGTTGTTTTATTTTCCCTTTTGCTAATTAAACTTCAACAACTAAAAGAAGAAGATAACTCTTTTTTGTCTGCAAGGATAAGCATCTTATATCCGCCAAGGCTATACCCACCTTGGCCTCTTATTATATTCATTGGAATTAGAATACACGCATAAATACATAACTATAATGCACATTAATACACAAACGAAGTATAACTTAGTGAAAAGGATTGCTACTTTGTTTCCTGACATACCCTTGTACGTAAATGCATTATATATTGGCGCTTTGTAATTTTAATTTTAGCATTTAATTATATTTTTCGTGCATAATCAAAACTATAAATAAAGTTAGCTATGATTTTATGATTTAATTAGCGGTTATATTTTTGTTTTCAAATATCTTATAGCATTAGCGGATTGTTAAACAGAGTATGAGGGTAGGGTTAAGGCTTAACCTTTCTGGCTTATGAAACATATAGACGAAAGAGTTGCCTTGAACTGTAGGAATTCAGGTTCAAACTTCAAACCTATAGACGTAGTCTACTATCTTTATGTAAGTTGAGGTTGCACGTAAACCTCTTTTCTTTGAAGACAAGTTTATGAAACGTGTTACTTTCAAGTTATTGAACTGTCAGGGAGAAACTTGCCCTCTTGGATTTCAGAAAAGTCAGGAGTTTGGATTCCTCACTTGTAATTAAAGGAACTTCCCAACTTTATTGTTCTTTTTTTTTTAATTTTTCAATTCTAATTATATCATTTCTTCTTTTGGGAAGTTCTTATTCTAGATCATAGTAATTCACCCTCCGAGCTTACTTCATTAAAAATTGCTTCTCCTAATGTGAAAGGAAATTTAGTTTTTTATATTCTCTCCTAACAACTTGTGATATATTCAATTTTGCTCAATGGACTCGAAAGAGAACCGGCCATTTCATCCGGGGGGTTGCTTTATGCACGTTTAAAAGGGGCAGTAATTAGAGGTCCAAATTCCCAATTTGTTAAATGCAAATTATTATTATTATTATTATTTTGGTTACATATAGGAGCAAAGTCCAAAACAAAAGCTAAAAATACAACTACATTTACCCTAGAGCACACGCCTCCTGCAGCCTCCTGACGGAGGGTGTCTTTTAACGAACCTAAGAAAAAACCCACTCTCTCCTTTCCGGCTTCATAAATAAGGCCAAACTTGGAAAGAATTTGCGCATTGGTTGCCACCCCTCTTGATGAACAGCACCTCCACTTCCCACCCAAACGGAGCATCAAGGCGATCAATGCAATTTAGTCAACAAATATAAAAGATCAGATGATTAACCTCTTTGCCTAATTCATAATACAAGCCAAGGCTCCTGGGCCCCAAGATGGAGATCTTTGAAGAAGCTCTATTTAGGAGCCCTTTTTTACGACACCTAAAAAAAATAAAATAAATAAACTTGATATAAGAGAACATCCATCATATATGAAACATTCATGAGCTTTAGAAACTCGGATTGTTTTCTTCAGGAAGAAAAAAGCCCTCATACCCAGCTCCTAAATTAGCTTGAGAGGAAATATAAATGGGGAAAGACACCGTGGCTTTTTTTTTTTTTTTTTGGGGGGGGGGGGGGGGGGGGGTGTTCGGGGTGGAGAGAGATAACGTAAACTACTACTATCTTCAAGGCAGAAGGGGATAATGAAACCATGTTATATCTTAACAGTGCTTCGCTTGAAATTCTATTACAATTATGTTAACTGCTGGCAGCGCTTTGGAAGATAGGTTCCATTATTGTCAATCATACATGTCTATTGAAAGCAAAACACAGACAAGGAATGGCAACTCATTAAAAAAGACTACTTTGATATGAAAAATGCTCAAGGTAAGGTCATAAAAACCACCTCCAAAACTTTACCGCCCTTAATATAGAACGGACCGTATATGACTACAATTTACACCCTTTTGGGCCCACAAATTCAACTAAGCAAAACTTGACTATTTGACCTGTATTTCCAATCTCTCTGGAGCAGATGGTTTGCTTTTGCCAGATAAGAATAGCGTTCCAGCCAACTTGAAATTTCCATTGATCAGTCACTTGGTGGATGCAAATCTTCACCATGTTTGTTATCTGTGGTGCCCACTGTTACAACTGTTTCTCCCTGTGCATACAAGATGGTAATAAGCTCAGAATTTAATCTCACACTTTCTACCTCATCCAAGACCTAAGCCCTTTGCAAAGCAGGGAAATGTGTGTTGGCAAGTATGGGTTACCAAATGGTAAGAGACAACCCCCATTACTAGGACTGTAATGTAATAATATAAAATAACCAGAAACCACCCACCACATACTACAGACGCATGAGAACTATTTCAATAATGAAAAATGAGAGTTGGTCAACACTATAAATCACATAACACTTTTTTTTTTTTTGGGGGGGGGGGGGGGGGGGGGGGGGGGGGGGTTGGAAGTCCAAATAACAGACTAATGTTTTCTCACCTATTTTCGCTATTTATATAGTTATGGCTCTCCCCATCAATGTCTTTTCCTTTTTCCCTTTCCCCCCTTTTTGACTAGTCATTAGGAATCTACTCTAGGAGGGAGGATGGCTTGCCTTGGCTTTAACTCTAGTTATGAGCTGAGGATAGAATCTGCCTGTACAAACATAAGCTGTACTACATGGCATTATCATCTGGTTGTGGATTTAGCAATTTGAGAGGCAGCCTAGGCCCTGCTAATTGACAGGAATGTAGGGGAAAAAAGGAATGTCTATTCTTTGATATTCTTCAAAAGAACAGTCCTAAGACAAGGTTAAAAACAATTGTGAGGAAGTGATTCAAGCTATGCAGAGGAATCATTCTTATCTAGAATTGCACTTTCCCCATAGACACAGTACGCAACCAGGCTGCTAATCATTTGGCAAGAAGGGTAAAGGAACAGAATGAGACCTATATGGTTCAAAAAGGCAGCTAAGGAACCATCATAAGAGATTAAAAACATCAAATTCAGCTGACACGAGATTAGATTCCTCATCTCTCCTGTGGTTGTATTTTTTTCTTCTCATCTCCAAGGTACAAGATAAACAGATATATAAATTTAATAAAGAGGAATAGTTGTCAACTTAAATGTATGGCTTACGAGGCTACCTGCTCTGGATTCCTATGGAGACGTTGATCACCCGACACGTCTTTACTATTTGCTGGAAGCTCAGTGCTTTTCATTTTAAGAATGGAAGTTTTCTGATCCTCCTTGTAAAAATCACCATCCACAGCACGATTCTCATTGCTGGATGAATTTGTAACCCCAGTCAAAGAATTACTGTTTCCACTGTTGGAATCACTTGACTCAGCTTGAGCCCCGCTTTCCCTCTGAACCAAAATGGTTTCTTTCTCAAGTTGCATTTTTTGAGCTGCATTAAAAGCTGCCTCTTCAGCTTTTCTCCTCTCTTCCTCTCTTTGTTGTCTCCTCCTTGCCTCTTGCTCTTTTATCTGTTTAAATCTGGATAGCACAAATAGATTAATGGTTCCCATGCAACCATGTAGGCACTTATTTTTGATAAGCAAAAAAAAAAAAGAAGAAAGACAGTCATTAAAAGAAATTAACAAACCAACCTTTCACCAGGCCGGAGTCCCTCTGAGGTCAACTTCTCCTCTGTCGTTTCTGTTTTGGTAGCACTAGCACTTGTTTCAAAAGAGGACTTCTGAATTTGGGATTGCTCCTCCTTAATGATATTATCACTGAATATACTTGCTGGATTTTTTGCACCCCCCATTTTTTGAAGCCATACCTGTTGTCCTGTGCTAAGAATGTTATTTGTCAACCTGCATAAACATGCATATGTAAATATGTGTAGACTAAGTTAAAAGTTACTTTCTGATTGAAAAAAAGAAAGACGTCATATTGTCTAATTTGACATGGAGGATGAAGTTAGAAGTTTTATAAAAATGTGGTAATTAATTAACTAAAGGAGATACAATAGCTCACCAGTAAAGACTTAACCCGAGGGAACCGAAAGAGAAAAGTAACCAATCATTAGTGGCAGAAATTTTGTTATAGCTTGAGAAGTCTTCAAGCTTGGATCATTAGACTGAAAGTCATCAAACAAGTCAAACAACCCTACACTAATCAGTGGCCTTAAATCGGTACTTTCACATAACATAAAAAGTCAAAGCAACGATATCAAGAAAACTAGGACAAAAGGAGGGATCAGTTCAATGAGCTAATAAACATGCAGATAGTGCATATTTAATATTACTAGTAACTTTTTAATCAACAGATACACTGAATAATTCAGGGACATTTGAAAAGAAAACTTTGGAGCAAATGAAAGAGAAAGCAATTTAATAGAAAGGTTCAAAGAAGACAGCTATAAAATCAAGTTACAATATCTATAAGCTTTAAAACAAAAGAAAGGAACATATCCCATTGGTTTTCTTGAGAACTTCTTGATATATATCTCGGTCTTTCCATATTTGAAGGTGGAGCATCTCAAGTGCAACACAACAATTTAACATTCAACAATTTACAGCTCCAACCAATATAATTGAGATATCCAACTAATGGAGAACGTATACATTTTACCTTAGAAAGATAATTTCAATTCTCTTATATCATATTTTTTGTTATTAAAACAAGTTTTCCTTATTGTAGCATTTCATCATAGGAAAAATTTATCTCCTGACACATAATCTTAGTGCCTTCAATGACTAAAATTAAGTTACATGATGGTCTGGTTGTTCATAAGAACTACCATAGCATCAATAAGGAATACTGATCACCATATATAACTGTAACAAAAATGTGAGATCATAGAAAAATGAGCCAGGTCAATGTAGCTGAGGAACAAAAAAACGTGAGATCCTGTGATCCAATGGCAGTAACCTGTTTCTACATAGCAAGCAAATGTAGAATAAGGCCAGGATCTGGAATAGGACAACATCAATCATGGAAGGGCAATAATTGAAGCATTATTGCTATACATAGGCACATTTTTGAAGCAGTGAGAATAGAAGAGTAAAGTTTGAGATGTAGAAAGAGATTTTAAACAACTTCCATGAAATAACTAACCTGTGATGACTGCATAATTTGGACAGATACATACTGTGAGAGAACTAACAGCACAGGCAAGACAAGATATGCCAAGGTATCTGACCATCCAAGTGGAGGATGACCATCCTGCACAGAAAGTTTTGAGCATCCAAGAATAAATCCAACTCATTTTAGAAGAATAGCAAATAGTATACTGCAGAAAGCATCCGAGCTTCTATCCTAACAAAGTCAAGGTAATCATTTCAAATCATTTTCGAGTGTGGCATAAACAAGAATGAACTCAACAAGGAATTACATCTTGCTATGTGACAGACAGTTCTTACCCTCTGCACCATATTGATTTCAGAATTAGTAGCTAGGCTAAGAAAAAAATTTGTAAAAAAGAAATGGACCCAATTTATGGTATATGTGAAACTGATGAGAGGGAAAAATACAAAAAGAAATCACTTTACTTTACAAGTTATAACTAACATATTAAAAACATTTACAGGAAAGTCACAAAACACCTTGTGGAATATACATTCGGGAAAAAAAAAATATATTGTAACAATATAAAATGGATCACTGACATGAATTGATTGCAACACTTACTACAAAAGGAAAAAGCCAAGAGATGCCACTGCCATTCTGTCGAGCAGCAACTGTGGTTGGACCAGCCAGGGAGGGTATCCAGAAGAAGCCTTCTGTCAGAAGCCCCTTAAACAATGAAATCACATTCAATAAGATAAGGGAGACCCCTAGTAGGACTTGATAAAGAAGTGGTGGTGAAAATCACAAGGACTCAGATAACATATAGGCAAATTACCTCATTTGCCACATTTGAAAGGGCTCTGTATAGTCCTATCCAGACAGGTATAGTGGCAAGGGTTGGCAGGCACCCTGGTGCAGACAAAAAGGTAAACAAGATAGTTCTGGGTTTTCAAGCACATGATAATGACAGTCAGATTCAAAACGAAGCATAGAAAATCCCACACTACCATCCATTTTACATCCTATATATAAAATATAACAGCAATCTGATTAAACCAAGAATTCCTGTGTAATTCAAACATAATTGGTGTCATTATTTTTCTTCATGATTCATCCATAGGTAGAGCCAAGTTGTTCAAAACAATCTATCCATGTCACGGAATAAGTGTCAAAATTTTGTATGGCAGTTAACATATTTCAACCTTCTAAATATTCAAGACTTGATGATGAAATGATATAAAAGCTTTAATGATTCTGTGGATTATACCTACATGCATGCACATTAATGGACATAAAAAAATACTGTTTCCTTTAATTATAGCAAATGCCCCTGAAGTTAGTAAACTAGAATTTGATAGGTATATTGTGCAGAAGAGCAATGTAAGAACTACCGGTTAGAATTCCATAATAAGTGCTTCTAGATGTCACTTTAAAGATAAGCAATTTAACTATGTATCCACTACGAAGGAACTATAAATAGTAAATTTTTATTAGTCTCCATAAGTAACATCTTTCACAAGCACATTTGTGAATGTCATGAATAGGACATATCAAATCATTGCATTTTTATGGATAAATTATGAAAATAATCCATAAATAGACATTATCAATCAAATAAGATCTCTCCACAACGAATAAGTATGTAGGAAAATTGAAACACTATCTACCTGCCAGTGGATTAATCCCAGCTAGTTTATACAATCGAGCAGTTTCAAGCTGAATTCTCTCCTGCAATTACATACATACATAAGCATTTTTAAATATAAGAACTGAATTGTGATCAAGTTTCAATCTTCATTGGCTGTTGATAAGGATAAACTACAAAAAAATGGATAAATGTTCTAAGACTAAAAGTTAACTAACGACAGCTCCTAATCATTTGTTTCTTGTTGAAGTTCCTGTGAGATCCAAAGTTAATATAACACTCAAGAAACAATCTTGAAAATGTAACTTAGAAGCAAATATAAACACTTCCAAAATTACAAGCCTCACTAGGGATCTAGTTCATTAGCAATACAAAATAAGAGTTTTTTCTTTGTTTAACAGAAAGTCTTAGAAAAGAAACTCAGTAATTTCGTCCATCAGACGTGTGGCCAAACGTCAGCAAAACACAAATTGAAAATAACAAGTATTTGCCTTGAAATAGGTAGTTCAAGAAAGCTAACTATGGATTGCTAAGCTCTCCAACTGACAAATTTTCAAGTTGAGCACATATTTCATCCATGACAAGGAATCTGCGATCTGTCCCCATGTGCGTATCAGGATACACGTTCATATATCAGAGAAGAGGCAAAAATAAATAAATAAAATTTCTGCAGCCTGTCCACACCGATATATAAGGGAATCATAAATTTTTTTGCATATGCATATGCATGCACAGCATTTAATTCATAAATCATAGAGGAAGCATAAATGTTGTCAGCCAAGATTTATTCTATGAGAAGGATGCTCCAAAGAGGACAGGATTAAAAAGCAACCTGGTCACCAGCATACCGTTGCTGAATCGCCTTTATTTGAGGAGCCAAAGATCGCATTGCCATTGCCGATTCTACCTAACCAAAATAATTTTAGCAGACAACATTTATAGTTTATGCAACATTAAAACTAAAACTTAAAGGTGATCTCCCATTCCAAATTTAACATACCTGTCTCTTTGTTAAAGGAAGGTAGCAGCCTTAACAATTATAGTTAGGAGAATAATTGCAAAACCATAGGCATAAGGAACATGTAAAGATGATAGCCCATCCTTCAAAACCTGAAATCACTCCACAGAATTTTCAAAAATATTAATCATTAGAACAGATAGAAACTATTAATACACTAATAGATTAGACAATTTCAGTATACACAGACACTTTACATCTGCTTCAGTGCTCAACCATATCAATTCCTTCAAACACCTTTCTATTAGAATTCCTTTATTTGACATACCATAAGGAACTCTCAGTCTTCTCTTATAAGAAAACAACGGAGTAATTAGGGCAGAAAGATGGAGTTTTTCAACCTAAAACTTGACCTCATGAGCTTTGCGTTTGGCTCCCACGCCTCAAGTTTCAAGCGTCGTATTATCAAAGATATGATACAAAATGTAAAAAGTTTAACAGAAAACATGCCTTTTTTTAAGGTAAAACCTGACCCCAAAAGGTTTCGCTCTTGACTATCACAAGATTCTTGGTTTTCAGCCCTCAAGAATTCAGGCACCGAATTATCAAATATACAACACTCCAATTCTGCCCTAATTTGTCTCGTTTTGTGGGCTTCAAAGATTAGCATCATTGCTATTTCGACCGCCCACCTATTGTTAGAAAATTTGCTCATGTGACTGATTTCTGTACTACACTTTAGCTCCAAGCCTCCAATACGAGTCGCAAGACTATAAATCAACGGCAAGTGGTAAAGCATGAATTACAAAAGTATTAGCTGACCTTGACATACCTTAAGAACACTTTCCATGCCATATGTAATTCCAGAGAGCCAATCCCCACTCTGTTTCGTGCTGGCGACAGCGTCCGAAGACGAAGAAGACGAAACGGCCGCATCAGCGACCGTGAAGAGGAATCCCTCGGCTCTCCCAAATAGCTCTCGTACTAGCCCGTCCGCACTTTCCGGATCGGGCAAACCCAAGTGATTGAACCCGAAACCGAACCTCACCAAACCCGCAGTCCCCAACGGTCTCTGGTTCGGCAAACGCAAGGAGTGGGTCCGGTGAAGAAGCGGATTGAAGCTTCTGGTCCGGTCAGTGAAGGGTGAGAGGACCGAGTTAGGACCAATAGAGAGCAAACTGGACATGATTTGATTCGGTTTTGCAGGAGCAAAACCCTGAAATGCGAAGGCAAAATCCAAACAATCGACTATAGAGGCGTGAAGTAATGTGGTATATACTGCACAGAGAGAGAGAGAAAGGTGGGTGTGGGTTGGTTCGCACTTTCCTTCCGAGTTCGAAAATGGGGAAAGAGGACAGACGATGAACGGCAGAAATATTGGATATTTTTCACGAGGACGGTCTGACTGAATGTCAACCTTCCCATGATATTTGTAACTCCCATTTTCATGTTACTTTATTTTTTTTATTTTATATATAAATATTTTTTTAGAACTCATTTGATTTTAATGTACACTTTAATTAAAATATTTGATAAAATTAAATTTAATTATAAATATTTATAGTTTAAAATAAATTAATTAAATAAAAAATTAAATAATTTGATAGGTTAAAAATTTGAATTTGAATATTAATAATATTTTTTATTAAATTAATAATTTTATATAAATAATATTAATAAATTTAAATTTGTAAAGATTAAATTGAGAAAATAAAAAAATTAAGATACTAATATAATTAATAAAATAGAGTTGAAAATTTTAAGTATAAAAAAATATTTTTTTCTTATAAAATTGAATTTTTTTATTAAATTTTAAATTATTTATCAAATTTAAATATGATTTAATAAATATAGATTCAATAAAATTATATAGATCGAATTCAAATAGGAAAATAGGTTTTATCGGATTCAAATTTAAATTTATCTAATTTAATTTAAATTTAACTTATTTATAACTTTAGATACTTCTTTTCTTGATCTTAAAAATTTGAATGCTTTCGCTTTAGGTATTTTTAAAAACTATATATCAAGATTTTACAATTTTTTAAATTAAAAGCTAAGTTGGCAACGCGAGAAGTTGAAAGTGGAGAAGATCCCTTTAATTTAGGATATGATTAAAATTAAATTAAATTACCTTCCTCCACTGTTGGTTCGATTCCATTGACACCAATCATAAAAACTTGAAACTGAGGGACCACATTGACATTATTAAGAAATTAGGCTTCCATCGAGTAAAAAATTATATTTTTCTTCTTTTTTGTAATAAATTAATTTAGCTTTCGGCTGCAGAAAGAAAAAAAAATTAAAAATGTAGTCAGTTATTTTTGTTGTTTTTACTTTTTTGGTTTTGGGGGCAGCTAGACGCAGGTAATGCATGCTGAGCATGTATTATCAGCCAATATCGCCTCCGTCCGCATGCCCACTAAGTTTGTCACGATCTTACAAGTTTAGAATCTAATTAAAATAAATTATCTTAGGAGTTATTAAATAATTTAAATTTAAATACTTTAAATCAATAATTTAGACTTAACGTATTATTAGAATTAATAGTTATCAAATTATTATAAATAATATTAAAATAAACAATTATTGAATCTGTTTTATTTAGATACGAATATAAATATGTAATTTAATAAGAACGAAGTTTTTAAATTGAGAAGCCTATAATATTTTATTAAATAGATTATTAGAATTAGCGACTCTTGAGTTATTATAATCTCTAACTCAGTTTACTGTAATACATTATAAAAGAAAAATAAGCAGTTGATTTATAATTAAATTACAAAGATTTACTATTAATTTTTGCAAGATAAAAATTTTTAATATATAAAAATGCTCCCCCATTTTCATAAAACACACTTGAAAATTTTTTTTAAAAAAACCCGTGTAGACTAATATTTAAATTAATAAAATAATTTTGGCAAGCCTGATAAGTCATTTGATTGTTTATTTAAGGTGAAATAAAACGAACTTCTTAAGAAATCAAACTCTTTCAAAGTGATAAGAGCTCCAAATAATCCCAGAAACTTTAAAAGATAGCTCACGAGGAAGCTCTACAGTGAAACCTCTCTCGCAAAAGTTATGGATGAGAACTTCTTTTATGTCTTACTAATTTCCACACTCCTCTATAAGTAATTAAATATTTAATCTAAAAAAGTCAATTTTTTTCAAATAACTAAACAAATAATCGAGTCAAATTTTTTAATTTTATAATAAAAGAATTAAAAGTTTTGAAGAAAAAAAAAAACTCAAACCACTGATGTTTGATAAGGGACCCAGAGATGGAGGGCCCAGATCATAAAATGCTAACGTGGCAGAACTGGGTCCCCACTTTGGATGAGTATTATAAGCTCTCTTTTCAGTTTGAGGGTAAGGCTCCAACGTACGGAGCTAAACCAGGTGACTTTCTTTGCCATTCAACGCTTAAGATTCGAGATTGAGGAGGAAGGACAGCTGATAACCGTGGATTTTACCCGGGTTCTCGTTGTCATAGGTTTGCTTGGAGTAAACAAACCTTTTTGGTGGGTTTAAATGCGCGAAGACTGAAGAAATGAAGTCCTTACCCAGCAATTACAATTGAAAGCTGAGAGGAAGTGATAAGGGGAACTCTAGTGGGCCATGAAATGTAAGGCTCAAATCTCACCAATTGCTTGTTGCGGATAAGAGAACAATCTAGAGATTACAATTCTATTGGCTCACTTCACACCTCCTCTTGCCCACCTTCATTTTCTACATTCTTTTCATTCTTCTCCGTTCACAAGCCAAAGCAAACTTCTCTCTCATCTCCAGTCCATTCTCTCTCCTAGGAAGAGCTAGCTACCACCACCAGCAACAATGGCGGCAACAATAGCAACAATGGCCATCCTCAATGCCAAGTGCTTGAGCCCGAAGAACTCCAACTCCAATGCCAAGCCTCTCTCAAAGCCCATGTCTCTCCTCTCCATGCAAAACCTCCCAAAGGGGCTGACCACCGCAAAGAATTCATCGGCTTCAGTTGCCGGCCAGAGCTTGGCCCTGGCCGGGGCCATCTTCTCGGGCTTAGCATCGTCTGAAGCGGCCATGGCTGCCCAGCAGATCGCTGAGATAGCTGAGGGGGACAACCGGGGGATCGCCCTCCTCCTGCCCATCATCCCAGCCATCGCTTGGGTTCTTTTCAACATACTCCAGCCAGCGCTGAACCAGATCGACAGGATGAGGAGCACCAAGGGGTTGATCATAGGGATTGGGCTTGGTGGACTGGCGGCTTCCGGGCTTTTCTCCGCCCCAGAGGCCCAAGCTAGTGAAGTGGCCATGCTAGCTGAAGCTGCAAATGACAACAGGGGACAGCTTCTTCTCTTTGTCATAGCCCCAGCAATCCTATGGGTTCTCTACAACATTCTACAGCCAGCCTTGAACCAGCTCAACAGGATGAGGTCTCAGTAATAGGGGGCAAGAGAGGGAGAGAAATGCGTTGCTCAAATAGGGCTACTTGTAATGTCTAATGAACCTTTCCTTGTATAATTTTTTTTGGGTTTAATATTTTCCTTTTAATTTTGCTCTAATATAATCATATGCCATGAGTTGCCCTTGTATGTATATGTGGCTGTATGTATATCATATATTGAACTTATTTACCTCAATTATAATATTTTCTTGTCAAACTTGAACTTGAGACTAATTTTTCCATTTTCAGCAGGTAGTCCTTTTATTTTTGAGAAAGGCTACCTACCAATTTCTTGTATCTATTACTTCTAAAATTGTAAAGGAGTTAGATTTGGCTTAAATTAGATAAATTTAAATTTAAATTTAATTACTTTTTTTATATCTGAATCCAATTTGATATTTTTTAAGATTTATATTTATCAAACTATATTTAAATCTGAATGACAATCTAAAATTTGATAAGAAAATCTGATTCGATAAAAAAATAATACTCTTTTATATTTAAACCTCTCAACTCTATTTCACCAACCATATTTATCTCTCAATTTTATAATTTTTCCAATTTAATCTCTACAAACACTTAAAAAATGTCAAATTTTCGATAGAAAATTACTGATAAACGTAAAATTGTCGAATTTTTGATAGAATTTCTGACGGAAATATCTATCAAAAAAATTTTCAACCAAATTTTGACAGAAATATCTATTAGAAAAATCTTTGGCAAAATATTCTATAAAAAAAATTCGGCAAAAATATTTTTTCAGAAAGCGAAAAATCTATCAAAAAATTATAAAAATAATCAAAAAATAAATATTTTTTGATAGACATTTTCCATGGAAAATTCCGTAGAAAATTCCATCAAAAAATTTTTGTCGCCATTTTTGATGAAAATTTTTGTTAAAAAATTTTTGTTATCATTTCCGATAAAAATTTTCATCGGAAATTTTGCACACTCTAGCTATATTGAAAACTTGTTGGGATTTGTAACTCTTTTTTGACAAAATTTATGTCGAAAATTTCGTCAAAAATTCTGACAATTTTGCAAACTTGTTGGGATTTATAACTCTTTTTCGACGAAAATTTTTGTTAAAAATTCAAAAAATTCATCAAAAATTCAATTTTGTCAACTTTTTGGGATTAATAACTTTTTTCCAACGGCTTTTCATTGGAAAACCGTTTGAAAAGTTTTTTTAAAAATCCACAACTCCTCTTTCCTCCCTCTTCCAATCTCTCTCTCTCGCTCTCCCCCCCCCCCCCCCAATTATTTTACTCCACCCCAAATAGATCGCCATTTGCAATGCCATGACCTGTTAGGACGACCAAGCTAAGCTCCAACAGATCTTTTTGAGCTCCCTTATTGTCTAAGGGAAGATAGTTCTTATTGGCACTCCTAGTGCCTTTATTCCTACAATAGTCTCACTTTCAGGTAATATCAATCATGTAATAATAGAATCTTCATTTGATTTTATTTTAAAGATATTATATTATTTTCTTTTTCTTAAAAATAGAGATATAGAGAGGTCAGCAGAAAAATTGCTAAAGGAATTGTCAGAAATTTGAAAAATATAAATATAAATTGTTAAATAAAAATAAATTAAAAATACTACTGGAAAGGTCGCTAGAAACGTTGCTGAAAGATCACTAGAGGTGTTGCAGGAAATTCATCAGAAATACTATCAAAAAATAATTCATTATTAAATATAAATTCAACAATAAAAAAAATAAAATTTACAATAACCATAAAATAATGTAAAATATAAAAAATAGAAAAATACTGCAGGAAACGTCACCGAAAAAAAGTCACTGGAAAAGTTTCCAGATATGCTGTAGGAAATATGTCAGAAATTCCGTTTTAAAATTTTTCGATAAAAATTTCTGTCAAAAATTCCATCAAAAAATTTCAACGAAAAATTCACTTCGTAAAAAATTTCTGATAGACTTTTCATCGAAAATTTTTTAACAGAATTTCTGACATAGTGAATTTATCGTCAAAAATCATTTTTGACAATCTTTTTTTTGACAACACCTCTTTCATTGAAAATTTTGTCATAAACAGATTTTTTCAAGAAAAATTATTGTTTTTTAGATGGAAACTATCTATCAAAAATAACTTATTTTCTTATACTGAAGTTAGAATTTATTAATATTATATATACTAGAATACTAATTTAATAAAAAATATTATTAAAATTCTGATTTAAATTTTTAACAGATCAAATTATTTAATTTCATATATGATCTACTTATTTTATATTATAAATATTTATAATTGGATCTAATTAATCAAATATTTTTATCAGATTCAAATCCTAAAATTTAAATTGAATTTAAATCAAATTAAGATTAAAATTCAGCACAATAACAACCTTAACTACTTTTAAAAGAAGTGGGGTCATGGCTGGTGAGGATTTTTTGAAGAAGTCCACAGCCAGAAGGAAATTGGCATGCAAAAACCATCAAAAATCAGAACCCAACTTCTTCCCCGGTCAAAAAATGATAACGAGGAATTTCTGACATACCTTTAAAGTTTTAGGTGACATATACATACATACATACATACATATTCAACTATAATGACCCATATTGCCAAAAGGATTCAATGGGCAATCAACAAATTCCTAGACAAATACGCAATTACAGAATTCTTCCTTTTTCTTTTTCTTAATTTTATGTATTTAATTCCTAAGTATCAAGCTTTTCATTTTACTTTGTAAATGGATTTTGATCAATATTTTGACTTCAGAATATTCTAGCATTAATTGAAGGTATATTTCAATCCATTTGGCAGCGTTATGGTTCTGCTAATAAAGTGGCTTTAAACAAACTTCCACTTGAAGCAAATTGATTAAGAGAGAGCTCAACTCGTCCCCCTTCTTCTTCTACCTAATAATGGATCCTCTTCCAGTTGTCGCAGAAAATCATCTTTCTGTCGGCTTTCCCTCACTTGGATACGACAACAAGGTATGAGTACTGGGCTGAATATGATTTGCAGTTGAACCCACACAGCAACCCCACGAACCTTCACTTCAACTATCTGTCGCCCGCGTGCGGGGAGTCAACGAAAGAAGGGAAGCTCCACACAAGGAGAGGAAGCTTAGCAAACAACTGAAAGGCAAAGGCTCATAGGGCTCTCGGACTCCCTCAAAGGGAATCACGGGACAGGGGATATAGCAAATGGTTTATTTGAAGCAGCCGCTAAGGCAGTATCCCTCTCTCTCTCTCTCTCTCTCTGTGAGCGAGATCGGTTCACATATGTATAGTGAGGTATAAATCCTAAAATGTACCTTAAGAATTGCATCAAAACTTCCTCAGCATACCTAAGGCAATGCCCTTTCCACTACCTTAAGAATAATTTCAAAACTTTCCTAGCACACCAAAGGTCGTACTCTACTTTCTTATAACGAAATGAAATTCACACATATAAAATAACATGTAAGTCATATCTCATTTTGAAATAAGAATATACTACTCTTAAAATTAGTATCAAAATTTTCTTGACAAATGCCCACGATGGTAGGTGGAATAACCCCAACGGCCATCAGGGAAAAAAAAAACTAGGAATACCAATAAAGGAAAGGGTTTCCTCCCATAATTAGAGAAAATCTTAATTTCAAATTAATTCCTAAATGCTATCAAGGCCAGTATACCCTCTGATTACACTTGGAATAGCTCAAGTCATGTTGTGTATGTATCTCTTTCAAAGAAAAACTTCAATTTTATGCATTTAATCTATAAATATAAAGTTCAATTTTTGTAGAGGGAGAGAGAGGGAGAGAGAGAGAAAGATTTAAATTAAATTAATTTCATAAGAACAATATATGATCTCATAAGTGAAAAAGGTTTTAAAAAAATAATTACTTAAATTTCATCTAGCAAATTAAACCGACGGTTATGTTAACTGAACATTTGGTGAATTCTTAGTACTGCTGCTTAAAGCCCTTATCCATGGGACCTTTTTTCCATCAAATACAGAAATTGAGGTACAAGACATTACAGCAATTAGCAATTATGAAGATCTAATAAAGCAAGTTTGCTTTCCAATCTCTAGGCAGGATAATGTAAAAGAAATAGAAATTATTTTTCAAAGCACCTTTTTATTAAGACAAGTTACCATATTGGTATATTAATTATTTCCAAAAAGTTTGTAAAACGGTTTTAAGAAGAAACCCTTTTTGGCAACTTGAGAAAAGTTGTTTGCAGAATTTTCAAAAACACAAGAAACAAGAACCGAAAACAAAAGACGGAGCTAATTGACTGAGAATTACCATATAAATGATTACTTTGAAGACGTCGAACAAACAGTGGCCAGCACCACATTTCCCACTTCTGTTGTTTAAATATTAACGTTTAAGTTTTCATCTTCAGCTATTAGTATTAAACACGTCTACAATCATGCATTATTAACACCTCCACCTTGACACCTCCTTGCGCTCTACCCAACAGCTGTGTTCAACATCAATGGCTCTCTAATCATCATACACGCTCTCCCTCTCTTCTCTCCCTCTCTTCTCTCTCTCTCTCTCTCTCTCTCTCTCTCTCTATATATATATATATATATATATATAGATACAGTGGTGCAACAATACCCAATACACATAACCACGCATGCATACATATACATATAAAATTAAGAGGGAGAGAGGTTTCTGGACGTTCCGTCTTCTCGGATAAACATAAACTGAAAGCGCCAACTTATTTTAAGTAGTAATGCAAAAATGAAAACTAACCAAACAAGGTCTCTCGTGGGTAAGTGTTTTGTCTCTCTCTCTCCTCCCCTCCATCATCTTCCTCTTCTTCTCTCTCAACTCCCATCGCCAGACACTTGCCGGACCACAAGCCGAACAACTTCCCGGAGGGCTCCGAATCAGACCCGGATTCTCTTCTTACGAAGCATACATAGAGCGCCAGCTCAACGAGACCCTGAATCCAAAGCTCCGAAAAGTATGGACGACCCGAGACTGGGACGGAAGATCCGGGTGTTCGCGGACTTTTTCGCTGTGCTAGAGCAGAGAGGCCTGCTCTTCAATGAGTCAAAGGTAAGAGTGAAGTGAATCAAGTGTGGATTATTACTGTAAAATTCTCTGATATATGCCAAAATTTAACGCATATTGCAGGCTCTGTGCATCGGGGCTCGGGTCGGACAGGAGGTAGAGGCACTAAGGCGAGTCGGTGTGTCGGACTCCGTAGGCATTGATCTGGTTCCATACCCACCCTTGGTTTTGCAGGGCGACTTTTCTCCAATGTCTTCGACCACGCGCTCTACCCCAATAAGTTCGTCGAGGAGATTGAAAGGACGCTGAGGCCCGGCGGGGTGTGCATGTTACATGTGGCGCTTTCCGAACGGTCCGACAAGTACTCGGCCAATGATTTGTACAACATGGGGGCATTAGAGGCGCTACTTAGGCAGTCGGAGTTGATTCACGTTCGGACCATTGACAGGTTCGGGTTGGATACCGAAGTGGTTTTTAGGAAAAAGAAAAATATTCAAGGATCAAGAGGTTTTTAGTCGCACAAATCAATATTTGTTCTCTAAATTGTAAAAGTCGGTCCCAGTCAGGGGAAGCCCGGAACTTGGGGTGAAAAACCTGTGTGGCTACGACGTCACTTAAAGGAGTCTCTGCTTTTGGGAATGGAAAACCAGTTTAGCGGATGGTCTTTCAACTGATTTTGGGAGACTTTTCCAGGAATAGGCCCAATTTATAAAACAGAGTGCTGGATTCATAGCTCAAAAACTCTTTTCCTATAACTAAAAATGACAAAACCCATCCAGTCTTCAAGATTTAAGTTTTTTTTTTTTTTTTTTGGGGGGGGGGGGTGTGGGACAGAACAAACAAAAAAATGAAAACAAAAATAAACATAAAACAGGATAGAAATCCCAACATAAAATTTTAAGAGTAAATTGCATTCTATAAATCTAAATTTTACTCCTCCAATACTTCAAGAGAACGTGATAAGATGGAAAAACATAAAATACAAAAAAACAAAGAGCCTTTAAGAGCATGGTTGGTTAAAATAGAAGACCATAATTTTTTGAATTAAAAAAACCTAAACAAGGATATAAAACAATAGAAGCGTGGATATACATTGGACAAGATAACCATCACCTCAGTTTCATAGAGAATTTCAACAGGTTGATCAATGTTTAGATCTCTGCAACGAGGAAGCTGGCAGGCATAAGGTTTTAGCACTTGGCAATTACACGGAGAAACAAAAGGGAGGAGAGAGACACCTTGGCAACGTTTTAAGATGACAAATATCAGTACATGACGCCAGTAACCTTGTGCAAAATAGGCAGTTGGACAACACTTCTGTTTTTAAAGCTCGGCGTAAAATTTTTTAAAAGCCACCTCTGAAAAAAATGTAAATTTTAGGAGAATCTGACAGATAATCACAAGAAATAAAACATTAAGCAGAATGACAGCCTTGAATACTTATAGATTGAGTTGAGACTCGGGAACAAATTCCACAGGCTGACTTTCCATGTCATCTTGTTGGGATTCAGCAGTAAGCTTGGCTTTCTTGAATCTCTTTGAACTTCTAAGGATCGCATCTATGGTTATATTCCTTGGGCCTGAACTCTGGTACAGAATAAACAGAGATTTATATACACTTTGACAGCATATAATATAAAAGAAGTAATGACGCTTCACAACAAGAAGATGAATTTCTACGCTATGAAGAATAATAGTTGAACTTAGGTCCTGTATTTACGTATTTTCATATACAGAACCATAACCAGGATGCCAATGCCAGACAGACTCAGAGGCATAATAATATATCTAGAGACAATAAGAAAATTTGCATTCAATTACTCCCACCCTAAACATATATATATATATATATATTCTTCTTACACCTGGGAATTTGCACAGACCAAAATTTTGGATAATTCCAGAGAGGTATAGACACTTCTAAATGCAATTAACAGTTTCAACACTTCCTTTATACTATTTAAATTGTGTATAATAGTAAGATGAATCCAACCAAGAACTTGTACAGCAAAATATATTACATTACATCACACAAAGAAGTAAGATGCATGGAAGTTGAATTTGTAGAAGAATTGTAAAGCATGAAGAGTGAGATATTGCAGAAATTTTTTCAACAAGAAAATACACAGGAATAGTGATTGTGATTCACATATGGTTGTGCTTGTATGTGCAACTACATAATCGCCACGTGCTTATGTATATTGGCACACACCGCAGTGTGCCTGTGTAACATCTCAATAATTATAATCTCAATGGCCACTTGTCTGCTGTTTCAGGGGGTTTTGTGGAGGATATGATGTACCCTGGATATTTTCGAAAATTAGAACTCATAGGCAGTAATGTAGCATCCTTTGAGCAAATTTTAATGATATGTGGTAACTTTGAAAATGGAAACAGCTAATGCAAATCAGCCACATGACCAAAATATGAAAGATCCTAGGTCTCAGACCAGGAAATGGTGGAATTTTTGTGATTGTACTTACTGTGATTTTATCTTGCTTTCCCCAACATTATTTTCTTTTGCACCAGGAATTCCTGCATAGTTTTGAATAGAAATAGAAGAAGTTAGTCCTCAGTACCTCAAATAAGATTTTACTTAAGCAAAATAATTGCAGAACAGTATAAAGGAAAATACAGTGACATTGTGACAAAAAAAGGTTTCTACAACAGCGATCTGAAGAAAGATGAAAAGTACACAACTCTGATGTTCTTCAAGATAGTAAATGCCGAAGCACCACAGGCTTTTCAAATCATAAAGTATATGAAATCTTGAGCAACAAACACAAATATAATTGCTCTTATCAGACTATAGATCAACAACTTTTATAGGAAGAATAAGAGAATCTCAAAAAAGGATCTCGAGTTACCATTTCTGGGTGTGTCCAAATTTGATTTGCTTTCTACTTCTGAATAACCTGATGAAGATGAATTGTCAGATGGAGTTCTAGTGCTAGCATCAGAATTTACAGTTCCATTCTCATCTCCAGAACTCTCACTACTTCCATCCCTAAAAATGGCTCCAGGAGTAGCTAACAAACTCTTATCATGTTGTGAACCATTCACAACTTCCCTCTTTTTCTAGTGGAACCGTTAGAATTCTTTTTCCCATGATGGCGATCCAAAGTCAATTGGTGCTTGGTTTTCTTTCTACCTTGGAAACGTTTCTCTGGACTGTCAAACCTTGAGCTTGTAGAGCTCGAAGAGTCACCATTTACCTCTGGATAAGTAGGCACCAGTCTACTAGCCTTAGAAACATTTACATTATTGGGCTGTTTGGCTTCTCGAATTCTTTGAGGTATCGTTTTCTTCTGATCAACATCATGAGAATCTGGAGCTTTTACCCCACTTTCAGAGGACTTTGAAGACTTTAATTTAAGTTCAGCATCATTATGCTGCTCATCCTTTGATAAAGATTCTCGATGTTTCATGCCATCAGAAATTCTAACATGAGATTTTCTTTCTCTCCCCTGCTTTGAATGTGATTTGGGCAAGTTCTTCGTATCAAATGAGATGGCTGAGGAAGGCACAGGGTCTCCATCAATCTTTTTACCTTTCACATCCCTATCAAATCTGTCTTCTTCACTAAACTTCTCAAAAACCAAGTCAGCAGCACCAGCTTCATGGTTGCGCTTTCCAGGCATAAAGTAGTCCTTGAAGCTAACCCCGTTACCATCACACTCTGGAACTTCTATTTGACAATTAGCATCAGTTGCACCACTATTCTTAACAACAATATCATTACCGTCATGTTTGCCTGACAATGAAACTTGCTTTGAGTCAGTGTTCCTCGAAGTCTGTTCAGGATGGAAAGAACCGTGTTGGGTACCACTATATTCAATCTTTTCACACCCCTGTCCAGTCAACTGATCCATAGGATTTGTTTTAGCCAATCTAGTTTTCTTTGTAGGTTTGGATGGCACATCAACCACTTTCTGACCATCATTTGAGGTAGGCAATTCTTCAATGGCTTCTTGCAATTTGATAGGAACATCTGTAAGATCCTTTGTAGCAGAATTCTGATTCTTTTTTGTTTTTGTCTTCTTTTTGGATTTCTCATCTATATCATTAGCATTTTTTGGCTTCAAGTCAGTTTGATTCAGGTGAAGAGACTCTACCTCATTCTCTTGCTGTTTGACTGAAACATCTGCACAGGTCTTTGCACCAGAGCTTCTATTCTTTTTTGCTTTCTTTCTAATGCTTCCATCTATATTTTCTCCAATCTTTGGATATTTATTTACTTGAGTTAATGCCGAAGATTCAGCCCCATTTCTGCCCATATCCTCACTTTCCTCATTAGCAGCAGTAAAAGAAATATCCACTGGTTTTAGTTTTGCTTTTGGTTTTGTCCTTTCAGTCTCAGCCAAAAACCTTTCCTCTTTCTTCATTTCACTTTCCTCATTAGCACCAGTAATTAAATGAGGAGCAGTTGAAGAAATGCCGCTTGCAGAGTCATCAGCATTCTCCATATTAGACATGACCTGCTTCGGCACAACAGACTTGTTCACCCTCTTTTTGATCCTTTGGACAGAACATTTCTCCGCTAAAAGCAGTGGTTCCTTAGAATGCATATTTGTTTTGCCCTGACTTGGTAAATCACACTTTTCAGACTGCACTACTGCAGGATCAGGGTGCTGTAAGAATTTTCTTTGCTCTTCGATCTTATCAGAATGTGTGGTTCCCAACTCAGACTCATTAATGGCTACAGAAGGGAACTCTTCTTCATTAGCAGAGTAATGCTTCTTGGACTTCTTTTTCCCTTTTGATCCACAACTGACAACTGGTTCAGAAAAATCATTTTTGCCTTCAGCATTTGCAGCACCAGGCACATTTGCATCAACACCTACAAAATATCGGCAGCTAAGTCAGTCAGATTTCCATATAGTCAAACTTGACAAAGAATGTAATCAATCAAATGACAAAAATTTTTGCATCATATATTGATGCAAGCAAGGATCAAAATGTAATTCTGGAGTGTTGTTTTGATCCAGGTGGAAATGGATCAGAAAAAATAATGAGATATTTCAAGAGAAAATATAATAAATGTGTTCATGTTTGTTCTATCAACATTATAAAGATTAATAATTAACTAAATAACTTGGTACTTCAATATAGATTAACGTAAAGCCACAAGTGTAGAATCAAAAAAAACTAAATGCCAACGTAGATTAAAGATAATTAATAATTACAAAAATCAAATTTTTCTAAACCAGTCAGTTTTTTGGTGAGTTTTTATCATTTTTTCATGCTCCAAAAATTAACTAGAAAACCGTTGCTTTGTTGTTCCACTGATGTTTCAATTCAGTCCCACTGGAAAAGGAATGGTTTCCATGGAAACAAAAGGAGATTTTGTTAAAGCAATTTCTCACCATCCACATCTTCTTGGATTGATTCTGAATGCTTGCACTTCTCAGAGGGTCCCAAATGTGCCGGAAGCATTTCAAGCTGACTGTTTGCTGCATTATATGACTTACCTTCCACATTTTCCTTTAAACTACCTTCTCCGACATGCAAAGAAGAGGGCTCGGTGGCAACTGCTTCATCTCTTGGCAGTTTCCTCTTTTTCTTTTTTCCACTTCTTGAATTAGTTCCCACCTGGTTATTTTCTGGAAGTTCAGTAAATAAGCAATCTGCCACAGCAGCAGAAGTCTTTTGTTTGTCCACCGTAGAGTTTTCTATATTTATGGCAGCTGGTTTGCATTTCTCTTGACTAAAATTAGAGACCAAACTTTTGTTTCCTTCTGATGGATTTTCAGCTTCTTTACTTTCTCTTTTCCGCTTTCTCTTCTCAGAAAGCCTTGTTTTTGAGACTTCCCCCAACAATATGCTGGAATCCACATCCCCGATAATATTTTGGGATTGATCATCCATGCGTTCACTAAGTGCTCGATGGATTTCTCCCGACCCTGACCTCACACTAGTACTAGGAAATGAAGGCATGCAAGGTTCCTTACCAACATCAACGTTAGCCAACTCCATATCATTTACATCTTCTTTAGCAATGTTTCCCGAGGAATTCCCAGTGTCACCAATCCCTGGTTGTGATGCAATAGTCGATGTACTTTTATCTTTCATTGATCCTGCATATTCACCCTTCTCCTTAGACGCATGTTTTTTCTTTGAAGCATGATCAGTTTGTAGAGGTTCTTCCCATGCATTAACTCCAACTTGGGAGGGGCCATCCCCGGCCTCTATATTTGTTACAGGGATTTTATTTCCCTGACTAAGCAGGTCACACTTCTCACTCTCAAAATCTGACTTCTGCTTCGGATCAGAAGAAAAATTCTTAGAAGGATCAATGGGATGTTTAACTTCCATCTCCACATCTTTCAGAATTCCTTTGTGGGTATCACCTGGATCAGACTGATCAACACTCGAAATATTCTGGTTCAGGCTCTGGATACTTCCAGGATTAGGCAATAGTAATGCATCACAGATAGGTAACTTTTTTACAGGACTTTCTGGTTGATTAATGTTCCTCTCTCCAGGACCTCCTGTGATCCAAGGTAAGGCATGGCCAGTAGCATCAGGGTTAGAGGACAACTGGTTATCATATGCCTGCTTTGATGTAGAAGCATCAACAGCGAGAAACCAGCCCTTCTTGGACCTTTCAAAAGCACCTTTAACTAGCATAGAATCCGGTAGGTGATAGAAGTATCCTTTGCACTTCACCTGCCAGGATCAAATGCCATTGTCAATAAGAAAAGCACAGTTAACAACCAAGACCATTTTAGTGACTTTTCACTGCATGTCAAAGAAACATACCTTTACAGCATTGATTCTTATGTCCCCCAAGTTAGGAAAGCACTGTGCATGCTCACTCACAATTTTCTCTGCAGTCCATAAGCATGACACACTCAAAATAAAATTATTCTAAACAAAAAGATACAGTGTTGGTTCAGGTTGAAATAAGTAACAATTTTGAATGGATGATAAGAATTTATATAACCTGCAATAGGGTAAACAGGCTTATAGGTGCACAAATGTGAAAATTCATTTGATGGTATTACATACACATACATATGTTCACGTTGCTTTAAGAAGGCAGTCTGCTATGCAAGAAATAGAAGTAGTTTCACACACATTACACATTTCTGAGGGAAGATAAGATTCTGCTGGGGAAAAAAAAAATAACTTGTAAACAAACAATAGATTAAGTTGCTGGGTCATGACAACAATGCTCAAGATATCATGAGTTCCACCTAATTGAGTGCGACTCTCCTTGCATCTGTCTCTGTAAGCAGAGAGGAAAGAAAAAACAAGAACGAAAAATGTAAAAGCAGCTCTAATTATCAACAATTCAATACCAATATTTCCTGCAAAACAACTCTTTTGCAGGAATAACAAGACAACCGCAAAAACTCAAGTCCCATAATAGCTAAATAGGCAATACTAACAGTGAGCTATTTCTGCAATTAAATACCGTGTTCAGCAACTAAGGCAATGTTTGCTTGGCATTTTGAGTAGTACTCTGTATTCCACATTCCACATTCACAATAAAATGAATATATCAAATCGCTAATATTGCTGATCTATATTGCCTATCACGTAAAGGAGGCAAGTCTTATCCATCAATAAGTTTCAATTCAAGAAATTAACCATCTTTGGATTTATATGCTTCTTCTGTCTGTCCTGAATTTATGCGTTTACAAATAAATAAACATTGAAATTCTTGAAAATTCTATTGGTTTCATATTGTTTTAATTTACGACCAAAATAGCCCATGAAAATTCTGAATACGACCTTTTGTTATTTTTCGAAAAATGAGCCTGTTTCTGAAAATTCCCCCAAAAACAGCTTTTGAAATCAACCTGCCAAACAGTGTTCTGTTCCAGAAACAAAAAACTGGTTTCAAAACCAAATCCAAATAGCTCAATAAAGCACAAGGACATGAACCATGACGCGGATAATGATCTCATATCAGAGCAAATCGAGCACGTAACAACATGCAAGGTGATTTTCTTGCTGTTAATCCCATCAATCATCAGCAGAAAAACAAAAGCAACAGATAAAGAGACGAAATGTAAGATGATTTTCGATGCAGGACCAGAAGTACCAACTGTATAAATGAAACGAGACATAAACCAATACATCTAAAGAGAGAGGGGATAAGGAAGAGTGAGAAAGGGATGGAAATACTTTTGAGGTCAGAGACAGTATCGTTGTCGGAGACGATCGTGGCTAGATGGGAGTCGAGATTAGTGTCGACAAAGACCGTGTTGTAGCTCGATGTTGTAGGCGTATCCATCCCGGAACTCAGCGGGAGGGAAACCCCAAGTCCTCGTACTGTGAAGGGTTTTGGCAAGAGACTTCTCCTAGTGGCTATGGCGGCAAAGGCAAAAGAATCCCGCCACTAGAACCTCTTTTAACCCTTCAGAATCGCGTGTTGCGCGGCCCGCGGGCCCTTTTGAGGATTTTCTTTTCTCCTTTTTGTTTTCCCCAAAAACAGGACCAAAACAAAAATTTGTTTGATAAATTGTTTTTCAAAACCATGTTGTGAACATTTAAAAAAAGAAAAATTACGACATCTCAGAGAATGATTTCTCCCTGCTCTTATAATCCTCAACAAATGTTTTTCGTGGAAATTGAAAATAATATGAAAAAATTTATGAAGCTGCCATTATTTTGTTGTCAGACATGTAGAAAATGACAAAAAAAAAAAAAAAGACACAGAATCAAATTTAAACAAACCTGTAATAATGAAGATTTCTAGAGGCTAACTACTGACTTTTATAGATTTTATTTTGATAAATTATATGTTTATAAAATTACTCAGAAATCTTATAATATAATAATAAATTTGACATACAAGTACAAAAAATTTATTTGATACTACCACTGTTGAAAAGTTTATCTACTCTTAAGAATCGTACCCCCTTCTCTTACATCGAGTGAGCCCATACAACAACCACAGCTTAAATAATCCATCTGCTTAATTGAGAGTGGAACACTAAATAGCAATCAGCAATGCAAGTAACAACAGACTTCAGAGTACCTTCAAGTTCCCAAAAGATAATAATAATAACTATAAATAAAAGGGGACTTCAGATTACTGTTAATGATAACTCTAATATATCATCTTGCCAAACAAATGAACCCAGTTTCGACAACCAAAATCAAAATACAGAAATAAAATGTAAAGACTAAGTGTTCCAGGATCATCAATGTCAGGCTCACAAAAAGTCTGCCAAAAACTTATCTATAACGGGCACAAAGAATTCATATCAGAACAAGAGCAAAATTAGACTTCTCCACACTAGTTGGGATGACTGGCTTTTCTTATGAGAAAATAGACAATCCAAATTCAATCTTTCTCTTGATTTCATCTTTACACAGATTCAAGCACCTGCCAAACCGCTTTCATGCTTAGAAGTAACACCCGAGTGTCCTCGGTGCATCCAGCATTGGATAATTCAAATGTCCTTGAGCTTTGAACAGAGAGCTTCCAACATCTCACCACGAAGAAGTGTCAATAATTTGAGAAGAAAATTGGCTGATTTCCCTGGCTTTGTGGATAAGGATACATGCCCGAGCATTAACCTACAATTTAGGCCTTGTAGTTGCCTAGGCTTCTTAACTTATATTATACATTGGTTTTTGAGCCCAAAAGGGCCAAATTTCAGGCTATTGCAGCTTCCAGCTTTCTGGGATTAAAAGCTCTTAAGCTAAGAAGCTACATGATAACTGGATTTTGGGCCTTTCAGACTTAAAAGCTCAGTGCATAAGTGCAACAGCAAGTGCAACAGCCCGTGATTAATTCTATAGAGAGATTTCACATGAATGCATCCTCCTATATTTACAGGTCCAATGGGCATATACATTCCATCATTCCATCAACCACTCTGGACGGAAATAGATGAACGTATAGCCATTTATGTTCTGTTTGTGCAAAAAGATCATTATTCTTGGCAGTTGCATTTCATGGCCGATCCAGATCATGACTACCAAGGCCAGAGTCCTTTGAATGATGTTCTTGGTGAAAAGGGTCATCAACACCGTGAACAGCACTCAATCTGGGAGAGAAGTTCCACGCAGCCACTTGTTCAAGCTCATGGCCCGTTGTCCTCATACTAGCTTCTTCTTGGAATCTCACGAAGTACATCGATGACCAGTAATCTTTTGCCAAATTCTACGACAAAAAACAGAGGAAGAAGGCAGTTACAAACACCAAGAAATGCCACCACGCTAGTATAGTATTTTATTCCTAGTGAGATAAAAGCAAGCAATATATTGCATTCTCTGTAGAAGACTAACCATTTTCATCAGTTGCAGTAGCTCGTTTAATGCATTTTTAAAGAGAGCAGGGTGTGCCAGATTAGCAGTTGTCAAAATTTCTTGTCGGTTACGGTGAGATATATTCACTTCCATTGTTGAGCCTATAAAAGCAAAACATAGTCAGGATATGTCTTTAAAGTAGAGATTTGTGGAAAGCATGGCGAGGTAGGAGCTACTCAATTTAAATAAAGAACGAAAAGGGTTCTTTTCATTAATAACTGGGCAATATCCAATTTAAGTAATTCAGACCACAAGAGCAAGGAAAAGGTTCAACCCGTATGCAACCCAATAGATTAAAAATTCAGGAATTAGAATTATGAGTGCAGCCCTGGGGGTTGGAATAATTCATGTTGAGAAATAATTGAATTAATTTTTACGTGGAAACTTTAGTACATAAAACTTGCATACCTGCAACTATGTACTTCTCAATGATGTGTCGTGCCATGTAAATTCTTCTGACAGTGTCATCCACAGGTATCTTATTGCGCTCATGAACTTCATCATAGAAATGGACGCTCTCTCCAGCTAAACAACTGCAATTCAAATAGACAGATACATAAGATTAATACTTCTCCTGACATCACTTAAGGGTTGTTGCTTCCCAAAAGCCTGTTTTGAGACAGGGCTTTGCAAGATCCTAATATTCATGAGTGTTTCTTTTTCTTTATTTTTTCCCCTTTCTCTGGTCGATGGGGGCTTTTAACTTAATTGAATCAACTGGCAAAAGTACAAAAGCTAATTTTTTATCATTTTAAGTATATCCAAATATCCATTTTTGCATAAACACAATTTATAATTTAAAACATATCAATTGCAAAATCTCAGTTTTTTGCTAAATGCCCTGAGACCAAACATCTCGTTGGTGCAACCATACTATGTGGGTAATACAACCTGTCAGCAAATGCCATAAAAGACTGCCGAAATCTCTTGTCCAGAAGAAGTTTATCCAAAGGTTCATTAGGGTCTATGACTGGAGGTAATTCCCTCTGCAGTAGCGGACCACTATCAGGTATGCCCAGAGCCTGACCCATTGACTCGAACTCCCTGTCATCCTTTTTCCTCAAACTCAATTGGGAGATAAGAGGTTGAGAACTTGATATCGAGAAGAATGCCAGCAAAAAAATACTTGCCTGCAAAAACAGTGTTACTGGAGAAATCATAGCAAATACTTGCAAATATTTTGATCCAAAATTAATCAACTCTAAGCTTAAGACTACTACTAAAATCAAGTATACAGGAAATAAGCTAGTGACGTTATAGAACAGACAAAAAGCTTACCATGGTTAGTAGACAAAATCTTGAGGCAACTTGAAGCCATTCAATTTCCTCATGGATTTCATTAAACAAGTAAGCAATAACCCATATTCCTGAATGTATGCAATAGAATAAGTAACTGAAACATGCAGATTGAATAAACAAACGCTGTTCAGAAAACACAAGAACATCTTCATTTATGGGAAGCTTCATTCAAAGTTATGGCCCTTCTCTAGATATTTTGCATAATTTCCAAAACAAAGGCACTAGCTATATTATGCGACTCTGGGGTGCATTGTAAATATGTGCCCCAGTGCTCAATTCATCTAATTATAACATCGCAGGACACAGAAACTCTCATAATTCTTAATGTACTTTATTTTTGAAGAAGAAGAAGGTGATGACGATGAAGTTTGAAGATTGTAAGAGCATTTCATGCATGATGCAGCAGTCTTTGGCATAGGTATTTGTTAAACTCATCCTTTTGAGACCAGCATTCAGTACTTCATACATTTCTAGTCCATATAACAGAGATTGTGCCAGCAAGTGCAGATCTTTTTGGTATAAAACAAACATAACAAGCTTCCCACTTGACATATTCATAGCATATGGAAAATTGAAGGGAAGCTATAACATGTACCAATGGACGAAGTGGAGACTATTATTCCACGCCAGAGGTCGTTGAGTTCATGAAACCTGAACTCTACGTGCCGAATAGCTCCTGTATAACCAACCAATGCAGCAACATACAATGCGTGGAAGCAAACAACAGGGATAGTCCACTGTGTCTGCATGTGGCATCGGTAATTTAAAGGTTTTCTCGTGTGAACAACTACAGCAGAAAAATACCATTGTTACAGGCAGCAATTACCTAGAAAATTAAAAAATATATATTATAGAGAGAAGAAATTTCTAAAATTACACAAATCATTCATGATGGTCAAACACAGCAGGCACACCCAAATGTACAAGATGAAATATTGCTTCCCAAGAATTTCACAAAATATAGAATTTTCAGCCTAATGATATTGAACTGAAAACATTTTAGCATAAGACTCAGAATGTAGGCCAAATTTAAAATTTGATAAAATTATCCACGAAAAAGGAAAGATTTTTTGCATTCATAAAACTGCCTTGGTGCATCAGAAATCACTTCTTAGTTGTAAGAAGGGAGGAGTGTAACATCTTTTCCTTGTGAAAAATTATTCATCTTTGACCAAAAAAGAGGTTTGAAGAGCTGCATCCCTAATTTTCTACATTTCACATTTGTTCTGTTGATAAACACACACAAACTGGAAAAATCAATAGTTAAATGACTATCAAATTTGGTTAGTTAATAGTCAAAGGAACAGAAATCAGTCTAGGCATGCTGGAAAATTACTGAAAGATATATTAATCAATCTATTGGCAACTCGGCTCCACATTTCCGATCCTCAAGAGAGTGAAAAAGATAGAATCATAATAAATAATAACTCAACATGGTAACTCTTACGTGCAGCCCCAGCAACCCAAGGCAAGAGAATTGAGGGAAGAAAAACATACGTTCTAATAGGTGGTAGATGTCTCCTGTAATATTGAGAGAAAACCAAAGTCTCAAAATTAGTAAGCTGGAATAAAAAAAACTGAAAATATGACAATTTGAAAAGAAAATGAACGGATGGGAATTCTAATGGACAAAAATATTGTATTAGGTAAATTTGGAAGAGAAAATTAATGAGCCACAAACACATTGTCCACAAAAACCGAGACCCAAATCTGCAAATGGATGTTGCTTCACTGATATCATTTGTTAAATTATTGAATATAAAATTATATAATAACCAATCTAACTGAGAGCTTGACTGGATATAACACAAACAGGATCAGTCAGTCATCCAGTGGATGCCGTTTTAAAATTATCAGTTACTGTGCTCTTTCTGTAGTCATAATTGTATCCTTCCGTCCTGCATCAAGTAAAGGGAGGAATTCTGAAGACTATAAAATGCAGCCATGCCTCACAAATACATAATAAAGCTGGGAAGCCTGAACTATGCGGCAGCTCAACAACAAACCAAATCCAAGAGGACCTTCAAGCCAGACTGCAAGCAAGCAGCCAGGAAATCAGTATCCAAGGAAAAACTTGAGGGTAAAAACAGAAAAATGGAGAAAGCAATTAATCATTAAACAAAAGTAATAGAATATGATTACAGCAAGTAACCTCCCCAAATATAGCAGGACTGCCACCAATGCTTTTTTCTGAATTTCAAGAAATTGACAGACATCTGCATCAATCATTAGAAGATACTGTTGAGGCATGTCACTCTGAAACTCTTAGAAACGATTTTGCATGTGTGATAAATTAAGAATTATAAAACCGAACCACATATCAATAAAAGTTGATATACATATGTATAGCCTACCACAATTGACAACAGGAGGTTGAAGCTCGCAAAGACTTGAAGTGCAGGGAGCCAGAAACTGCTGCCTTTAGGACGAGGAACCTTATGAATCAGAAAGGGTAAAGTTGACCATGTGAGAAGCCTGAAAGAATACAACATGCACCAAAAGCGGACAGAGAGCATCCAGAAAGGGTCACTAATAATGGAAAGGAATACAAATACTAGAAATATATGAATAAACAAAATATATAACAGTGATTTATTCAGGTAACAAGGATAAGTTCCTCACAAGTCTGACTTCATTTTAATAAAGAATTTGGTCTTTGATTTTCTCCCGGCTCTGAACAGATGTGCTAGACCGCAACTAAATTTATGAACACATAAATATAATTTGCAAATAGTTTCTGGAGTTACCCTAGTTGTGAGATTGAATTTACTTCGCTAGGGAATAAGATTGAACAATAGTATTGCATCACTGGTATAAAAACTGATTTACAATTACCGGCCGGCCCCTTTCAACTCCACTGTCATAAAAGCTTCTCCTTAACTGTATAGTTCCATTCATTAAACCCCAAACCTCTACCAATGACAAGGCAAAATTAGCCAATTCATTAAACACTCATAAGAATAAAGACATTAATTTAAGACCCATTTGGAAACATTTGTGTTGTTGACTGCAACGTCGCGAATGTATCTGTATATATTCGTAATTGTAAGCAACGAGAACGTACAAGATGATGGAGAGGAGGGATATAGAGATGGCTATGTAATCAGAAGGACAGCCTCCTTCGACGGCACAGGAAGCCATTGCAGATCAGGTTGGAGCAGTGGATGCTAAATTCTTCCTCGGAACACCGATCCCCCTCCAGAGGGAGAGAGAGAGAGTTGATTTATTAGGAACCGCTTCACCGGTCGCTGTTTTCCGAGGACGATTAGTCCACCTCGAGGTGCCATATTTTGACCGATGAGTACACCAAATCACGAGATTTTAATGGCTTTATGTTGGCATAGCAAAACACTGAATAATTTCTCGTGAGAAGGAAAATCTATTTAATTAACTTCCAAAAACGTCAAGAAAAAAAATCTAATTTTTATATCAATTGGGCTCGAATTTGAATTAAAAAGGTTGTCATTTTAAGTTTTCAAAACTATACAAAAATTAGGTCTAAAATATTCATAGCTGATGTACACAAGATCATGGTTATTTACTATCATAAAGCAAAAATAAATAAAAGAATATTTAATTTACGCAAAGGTGTATAAAATTCAAAAAAATAAAAAATATAACACTTACTAGAAATTAAAGAAGTGGAATATGGTCAATAAATTATGAAAAAAATTGATTACTCCTTGATTACACCATAATAACAGTAATTAACAGCGCCACATGTCGACAAGGATATTATGAAAAGATCTTATCGATGTGAAATTAATAATGCGTAGATGGCATTTTTTTTTCTTTACATTTCCTTTTTATTTTTTTACTCCTAGAAACTTTCATTTATTTCTTAATATACTAAAATATTTATTTTGAACCCTCTAGTATTTTTATGTTAATTTTAGTCTCTTCACTTTTATTTTTAACCAAATTAGGGCAATTCACATTATTTATTAGCACGTCAATTAAAAAATATCTGCGTGAAAAATTTAAGCAATTGATATTTAGCTGTTTCCTCTTTCCGATCCCACCATGTCAGCTTGACTTCTTGTCCTCTATCGCCTTGCTCTCTCCATCGTTTTATACTATAGATAAAACTACTGAACGATTGTACAAAGTGCGAAGTTATCTTGGACGAAATTCTCCCCTAAAATAATTTCTTAGTCAAATCAAGCCAACCCGCATGAACTAAATCCCGTAGAACACACACACACACACACACACATATAGGCAGCTACAGCCATTGCCAATAATAGGAGGCTGGATGCTGCGTCGGAGGCCACCACAATAACTTCACCTCTGAAATCCTATTAGGAGCTCAACTTGTCTTTATATATATATATATATATAGACACACACACACACACACACACACACCATAATTATATACCATAAAAAAAAGCAAAAAGAGAGGCAATAAAGAAAAAGAAAAGATAGTTCATACTAATTATCAAATATGTACAAATCCAGAAGACCAATTCAAAAAAAAAATAAAGAAGTTACTATTTCAAGTTTAAAAAAGAGCAAAGAGGTCTTCAAGAGTTCAAAATATTCAAATGAAATGACACTGTCCAAAAGCACGAGTTGCAAAAATAGTAGGTGTAATTATGCCTGACAAAGCACGCGTAAGATTTCTGATAAAGCCTACCCTCAAATACGAGTGACAAAATTTGTAAAAGTTTTCGGGATTCCTCCGACAAACCTACAAAAGTAAAGGAATTCATGTGATCAAATTAATTGTAATTTTATGTTGTTTCATTTCCAGAATCTATATATTGAAACATTTAAATTGTGTAAGGTATCAATTGACTTCTATTTGAGAAACCACTTGAGTCTCAATCTTTCTTGTAAACTCAATTCCCTTTGTATTCCAAATTATATTCTCAAATTTTATCAATGCAATTTCAACTGAAGGGTTAATTTTTGTAAGTATTCAATTTATATTTTTAATATCAATTTCAACTGAAGGTTTAATTTTTGTAAGTATTCAATTTATATTTTTAATATCTGTATTTAATTTCTGTTTTCAATGTTTGCATTTAAATTTTGTATTTAAAATTTATTATTCTTCAAAAAAATTAACTTGGTGGGATAAAATTAGTGTAAGGATTGAATATACCATTCATTATTCTTGGTATGTTATTTTTAAATACCATATTTTGACAGTTTTTTAAGTCTGAAAATATTGGTAGGACATTGAAAATTTTCAATATCCCACCGATTACAATTATATCATCAATAATTCTTTTTTGATAGTACTATAGTTCTGGATATTTCCATGATGTTATTGTAGGTGATACACAATTTCAAGCTTCAAGATTAAGACACGTTCAAACTTTAGCTCAACTATCTAAAACAGAAGTTGACCAAATAATAGAAACATTTATAGAAGACTCACAAATTAATACAACCAAATGGAACAATAAAAAATTCCACACAAGCATCAAAAAAATTATTATCCTTGTCCTTCATTTCCTGATCAATGATTTGAAGTTCAACCTGAACCTGTAGTTCAATACAATAAAAGTGGAATCTACAAATGGAATTTTGATAGTCTTTCAGAATATCAAAAACTCTCAAATTACAAAAAATGACAATAGTAGCAACTGCTTATAAAACAAAAAAGCAATGCTCTGATAGAGCAATTACTGAAATTTTAATATCAGGATTTGATGATAGACTAAAGTCTTGGTAGAATAAATACCTCACTCAAATTGAACATACTCAAATCCTCAATACTTTAAGAATATATCAAAAAGGATAAATTGTTAAAACTGAAGACAATCAACCAAATCAAGATGTAGTTAATACTTTAATATATACAATAATTAAACATTTTATAGGAGATACTAAGGGGTTGTTCGGATGGGCTAATAAGGCAAGATAAGATAAAACTTATCCTATTTTGAGGTGTCTCGTTTGGTCCTGTTTGACTGGTTATTGCTGGTACTGGGTCTTCCCTCAAAGGGGGTTGTGGATCAGATATGGAGTTCCTGTGGCACATCTCCGATGTTGCCATCCCGAGACCGGCAGTTAGGATGTTGGGGTTCCTGTCTGACGGTCTCGCCGAAAGCGATCTGCATAGAGTGGGTTGTGGATTAGATGGCCCGCAATGCCACACATCGACTATGTCTTCCCTGAACTTGTCGGACAGTAACTTGATTTTGGGATATCGAACTATGGCGTTGTCGGGAAATTTGCTGGTTGCGAATTTCACGTAGGCCTTGATCTTGCAATAGTAAGTTGTGAAACTGAGGTTAGTCTGCTCCATGTGATATGTGGCGATCCAAGGACAGCGCTGCTCCTTGACGGAAGCGAAGGATGTTCCATAGTAGGTGAGTTCCACCGGACAAGTGACTGGAAAAACAAATTCGGCCTGTTTCCAATCAGGCCCGAGTATTCTATTGTCATAGATCATTACGCGCACACTGCCGATGGAGTTTATTAGACATTGGGGTTTGTAGATGATGATGCATCGGTCGATTATTATAGATCGACCGATGAACTTCCTAACTGTTCCGGTGAATGGGATAGTGAGATTGAGTTTATGGGGTTCCGATTGTGCTCATTCTTGCATGGTTCCGATCTTGAAGTCGTTAGTGTCGAACTCTTGTTCGCCGTCCATTGGTCGGAATGTTCTTTGTCCTCGTCTGGAACTGTTCTGTATGAATAAGGGATTGCTTATTTAATACCGGAGAAGTAGTGGCATTCTGGTAAATATGAGGTCCCTCCGTGGAGGGAACTCTCTCACAAAGTCTCAGATAGCTGGAGGGACTGGAGAGATCTTTATAGTAGGGGGGCGAATATAATAATATTACTAGCCCCCTTCCCCCCACGTGGACGGTGGAGATCGCGCCTCACGAACTGGGTGGACGGCTAGGAAATATTGGCGCTGAAAAATAATTGAAAAAGGAAAAAAAAGTCCCTCCAGGTCCCTCTGGGCCGCCAATTGTGGGCCGCTCATTTGGGCTTATTTGGTGGAGGCCCAAGGCACCACTAGCCCATTTTTTTGGCCTTTTCTATAGGGAAGCGCCTTGCTCATACGCCTCAGTGTGGCAATATGTGTGTCAGGTTGCTATTAGGGTTACTTGGAGGTGAAGCATCCGGATATTTTCCCCCCAACATGAAGTGGGCCCCACTTAAATTTAAATTTGAAATTCAAAATCTGTACCCACATGCCGTTGAACTGCTGGGGTAAAATTTGATCGCCTCCCTCTCCTCATATTTACCAGAATGCCACTACTTCTCCAGCATTAAATAAGCAAGCCCTTATTCATACAGAACAGTTCCAGACGAGGACGAAAAACATTCCGACCATGGACGGTGAACAGGAGTTCGACACTAACGACTTCAAGATCGGAACCATACAAGGACGAGCACAATCGGAACCCCAGAAACTCAATCTCACCATCCCCTTCACCGGAACAGTTAGGAAGTTCATCGGTCGATCTATAATAATCGACCGATGCATCATCATTTACAAAACCCCAATGTCCGATAAACTCCACCGACAGTGCGCGCATAATGATCTACGACAATAGAATACTCGGGCCTGATCGGAAACTGGCCGAATTTGTTTTTCCGGTCACCTATCCGGTGGAACTCACCTACTATGGAACGTCCTTCACTTCCATCAAGGAGCAGC